GCATTGCAGCGTTAAAAAACTGAAGTATAAGGATCGATGAGTTTACGATATACATTGGTAGGATTTCTTCGCGCGAGAGCCACTGTTTGGCATAATCGGTTTTTACAATGTTTACACAGCCACCATACACGTTGACACGCTATATGACAGCATGTTCTGGTTATGATGTGCTACGCCATCCTCCTCCTCGTAGACAAAATATGGTCGTGGATCTTTGTGTCGTTCGACTACCGTGCGCCTGTGATTATCTGGCTGGCGAAAGCGATCGGCTTTCAATAAGAAATTTCAAGGGAAACATCCCTCCGTCTCGCCATGGCAATATTTCCCATGGCATCGAAACGAAAGAAATTACGAATAAATAATAATTCTTAGAACGCGATTCGACTCTGATCCAGGTTAAGTACCTGATCTTATTCCTTCGGAACACATTTCGCGGCATATGGTGGCAAGCAAGAGAATTAAATTTTATTAGCGTGATGATTTCAATCAAGAGAAATATTCTCTCGAGACCAGACGTGCGTTTAATAAGTGACAGGCGTACGACAAGAATGTTTCCATGGATCGCGTAATTTTACAAGTTCGCTGGCGCGAACAATGAATCGCATAGTGAAACCAGATAGGGGGAAACAGGGGAGGGTGCACCATTAAAATATTACGACACGAGCGAGCGTGGTACACGTTATTTAACCCGTTTTAGTCATTTTGTATCCAGGCCAGCAATTCTGTCGCGCCTCTTTGAAACGTGCGTTGAAGTTGCCGCGCACGATCTATCCCTTAAAAATCTGTCGATTTGTTGTCCCTGTCTGATGATGTCGAATCTGTCGAATTCTTCTTATGTAACCTGGATCGATGATACAGGGAGTGTTCTCTCGACGATCAGCACTATCATCGATTAACATTTTCGACAGTTTATCGTGATCGATTTCTTCGCAATCACTGTTTTCGGTATCATTCCATGGTATATTTAAATGACAAACGTGAGGCTGCTTCATGAGAGGAAGATAGAAGCGGTTTTAGGGATCGAAGAGGCATTGACATTTTCTTCGGCTAGCTGACTGGATTCATGGACAGGTGTTGTAGAAACCTCTGTCAGATCCGAGAGAATAATGATTTCTCGTGTGCCAAGAAGATCAAGCCGGGATTTCGAGAGCTGCGAAATCCGCGAGCCGTGAGCTCCGAACCGCGACGTGGCAGATCTCGAAATAAAGTCGTCGCGACAAAATAATCCATGTTGTGTTTTACGTCATTCACTGGCAGTTGCCACGATACACACGTAAGTGTGTACGAATTATCATAGTGTCTTCGCTCGTCGCACGCGATTCGACACCATAGCCATCGAGAACGATGCATCCGAATTCATCGAATTAAGTCACATGCTGCCGGTTAAGTTTCCAGCTCCCACGTGACACCCTGTTGTATCACGTTCTCTC